CCGGCCGGAGCCCTCCTAGGCCGGGCGGGACGTGCGCGTCGCGGCCCGTCCCTGAATTTCGGTTTCTCTCCCCGCAGTAACCTGGACCCGCTCACGGAGACCGTATCCTCCCTCGCTGGCCCCGCTGGCCGGGCAGCGGAAAGGCTCAGCGCCTAGGGCCTTGGTTGTGCTTCGGCCCGGGGAGAGCTGCCCTGTTGCAGACAGCGGCCGCCTCTAGCCAAGCTGTGTTCCTTAACCAGACGTTTGCAGTATGGGATTCCCTTTTATCTGCAGTATTTGGCCCACTGGCCGGAATATTTTATAGTTGCGGAAGCACCTGGTGGAGAGCTCATGGGTTACAGTGAGTGTAACGTGATGAGTGCGTGCGTGCGTGGCAAGGATGGGGATCGTTACATGTTACCGTTCCATTGCGTTTTAGTGTTTTGGGGAGTGTAACTCACAGATCTCTTCTTACTCTCCGGATTTTTCTAAATATTCAGTACTGAAGAGGAACGTTATGTAGTAATGTGTTATTTCATGAACACCTAAGGGTATTGCATAGGTGTAATAGCAGTAGCTTTTGTTTTGATGCTCATAGCACGGCAAAGGCTCATGACTGTAGTCGCAGCTAGCCAAGCTGTATACCTGTGGATGTATGCAGATGAGCCTTTGCCTATAAGCAGGGAATTGAGTCATTGCACTCAGCTCTGATCTAGCATGCTTTTAGTTAACTGTAAGTAGTAATGCTGGGTTTGGCTTCTGTGTTGTCCTTTAAGGGAAAGCCCTGGGTTTGGACTTTGATTACATTTGCTTATTTGCTCTGGGATATTCATGTTTCTCAGAGCTTGTTCTAAATAGAGCTGTTTGCTCATTCCTTCCTTAAAACATTTTCTGTTTTAATCTTCTTTTTATGGTCATAAAGGTCTTTGCAGGGACCTGGGAATTAAAGTATTTAACAGATTTAAGCTGAAAGCGTTTACTATATAGAGCCTTTTTCCCGACCTGCCACCTCAGTTTCTTATTAGTAGCAGTGACTGCGTGCTGTTAAGAGCAGTGCATGGGATGGGAAACATGACTGATCACCAGTGAGCTATCACTGGGTTGGCGCTATGTAGAAAGGGAAGGAAATACAAAGAACCCCCCCCGAAATGACACCCCTTTTTTTCTTAAACATACCATCTTGGCTGGGCCTCAGCTTTCTATTGGCAGATGGGCAAAGCTTCCCAAGCCCTCAGTGACCAAGTCTCCAGTAGTGGGCACAATGGTTGGTTTGGGGTTTCTAGTCCTCCTTCCTTTCATTGTTTCAATCAGATCCTGAATTCTGCTCTGTTAAATACTCAACAAGACTCACTTAAATTCATTTTTGAAGCCTAACTTTCAAATAAAAATTTTTCAAAAATGGTTTCTTTTTTTTTATATTAGTCAAAAACCTAGTGTAGAGCTTGTGCAGAATGACATTTTTAGTGGAGCAGAACTGCGTGGGGAGCTGTTTGCCTTTTCTACAGCTGGTTGATTTTGATGTTGCAATAAACTCTCTCACCACGCAGTTGGCAGGATGAGGAATTTGGAGGTTAGGGGTCTTTCCAACAGAACTCACCTTATCCAGGTAGACAAGGACCTTGAAGGTCATGTTTCCAACTTTGCAAATACCACAGTTATTTGACCCATACAGGACAACTGTACATAGTCACTGAATAATAATATAATGAGATGGTGCAAACATCGTTATTTCAGTCTTTGCCACAATCGCTGCCACAATCGTTTGTTTATACATTGCTTTGGTTCTTTAGTAAACGTTTTTAGCTGTGCGTGATGCATTATCCCAAAAGTGCTACTGTACTGAGTACTCCATGTGTTTGCAGTAATGGGTAAGGCAGAAGGCTCTGTGGCCAGGGAGGAATGGCATGGACATGTTACTGCCCTCTCTGTTGCACCTGAATTTCGCCGACTGGGTTTGGCTGCTAAATTGATGGAACTACTGGAAGAAATTTCAGAGAAGTGAGTAGTATATTTATTTTTAAATTTATCTTACTAAAGTATTCTTGCTACAGGCTCCTGGTTTAGATACTTGATTTGTGTGGAAACAAACTGAGACTTTTCCACTAAATAGTGTTGTGGTTCACTGAAATTCCCTGTGGTTAGAGAACAAGAATTATGGGCGATGCTTGGCAGTTTAAAACCTCATGGTTTCTATGACAGCTATCTTGCCAGGATAAGTAGGGAGTAGCCTGATTTCCAGTAGAGGCGCTCTATAAAAGTTGCTTTTTTGTTAGGAAAAGTTTCACAAAATGTCAACGCTTTTTCCCATAGTGTCCACAACATAACTGAATAGTAGTCGTGGACGTTGTGTGGCCCTATCAGACGCAACACTGAACAAGCTATGTGCTTTGAGGCAACATCTTTGCTTACTTTCCCTATCAGGTTGGGTTACTTGTACCTGCAGGAAATTAAGTTTAGCATCAAATAAACTGATGGAGAAATGTCCCCAACTCATGCCAGTAAGGCAACCCCACTGTAGTTGATAAAAATCCAAAAATAATACAATGCTTTGAAGACCTTGCCTTGCGAGAAGTGCTATCTCCAGTTGCAGAGCTGAATTTCATGCCTGAACTTTGGGGGTTTTTTTTGCCTCATTTAAAATACACAGAGGACCAGTCCTTAAGTTGGTGCGATCTAGAATCTTAGTTGTTTTTTTTTTTTTAATTTCATTTCTTACAGTAATGAGGCTTGTATGGTTGTTTAGCTTGTCCTGTTCTTTTTCTTAATAATTTTGACCCTGCTGGCTAGTGCAGAAGATAGGCATGTGACAAAAGTATACTTGTGCCTATTTCTGGATCTGTTCCTTAGAAAAGGAATGCGTCTGATATTACAGTATGAAAGATGTTTTATTAGTGTACAATATCATCTGACCTGCTTCTGCCCTGATTACAGGCTCTGGGTTATTATTTGGAAGTATGTTCACAAGCTCTTCCTTACTTTCTTCTCTTTATTTTTACAAAGAAAGGGTGGATTTTTCGTGGATCTCTTTGTGAGAGTATCAAATCAAGTTGCTGTAAATATGTATAAGCAACTAGGCTACAGTGTGTACCGGACAGTGTTAGAGTATTACTCAGCTAGCAATGGAGAGCCAGATGAAGATGCTTATGGTAAGTCCTTGTTCTGCTTTTAGCTGAATGGGAAGGTTCTGATGCTGTGCATCTTTGGGTTTGTTTGTTCTTTTTTATGTGAAACTAAGTTCAGATAGCTGCTGATGAGTTGGAGTTTTGTTTGTGACTTCTAATAGTTTTTCCTACTGGAGATTACTTCAGCTACAAAACTTAATCGTGCAGTATACAGTTCTGTACTATCAGGGCAAAATAAACCACCAAAGATGAATAAAGTAATAAGTACAAAGATGTGCTATTTTGTAGGTAAGATTAAAATAAAAATGCAGTTACTTATCTAATTCTTTCCAAAGACTGCTCCTTCCAGTTGGCTGTATTTGTGGAATATGTGGCTGGTTTTTTGTGTTTTT